ATGTGTCAAACGTCGTGATGATTACCCATGGTGGACAGTGTTTGCTGGAGCTTCCCGACTAAAACAAGCCTGGAAGCAGGAGCGGCATCCACTTCTGAAATGGCTTGCCTCCAGAAACTCTTATGTACAACGAGTGCTCAGGCCTTTAGTTCATAGGGTAGCTATGAGTTGTACGATTCGACAGCACCTAACAACATCAACAACAGATGTTTTTACATACACACAGTTAAAAATTTTGTTTATGCAACAAATCTTTGACAAAATGTATAAATCTTGAGGTAATAACCCTTCTAAAAATAAATCTGCATGGAACATTTGCTACAATAATCTCCTGATTTTTTTAACCAGGAAAAACCAATTATTTACTCTTTTTCTTTCCCATTAAATTCCACAGCAAACCATTGGTAACTTCACACCAATGACTGAGCCATGCACTCCACCAAGATTACTTTTAGGGTTCCCCTCTCCCAGTTCTGAAGTCCCCTCTCTCATGGCTAATAATCATATTCCACTGGTGTTGGTGTCTATCTCTACATGACATTTCTTTCTAAAGTCATTCAAGGCACTAGGCAGATATATTTGTTAAAACTCTGCAAATAATTAGAGAAAACAAGTTCTGAATGTGGGCCCAAAGGGATCTCTAGTAAGTTGTGAAAGCATTAGGAAGGACATCTGTTTGGTTTTCCGGAGGCCTACTTTCCTGCCTACCCCACACGCCTACACGGCTCTGGATCCGAGCTTCCACAACACCAGCTGTTAGTGATAGATTAGACATCTTGATCAAATGCCACACAATGTCTTATTCATCTTTTAATCAACAGCATTCATGGCACAAACTGGGATTTTTGCTACTATCATCTGAGCTTGATTTGTGATCTGAAGAATCCCAATGACTACACAAACGACTTCAAACCACTCTCCAGGCAACTAACATGTACAAATTCTGTTCTTTCCCTACAATATGTTTTGTAACATACATTTTTACCACATACAAAAATTTCAGATAGTAAATATTTAACCCATTGGTATAGTGATCTTACACTATTCTATTTTTATATTTAAAAATCAAGGTCTGAACTCTAATTACTACTGGATTAAATGTATTGATTCATAAGAGAAAAATGTAAGTAACTAAAAGAATCTTTTACAAGCAAATATATGCAGAATTTTGGGGAGGGAAAAAGGGGGGGGGGAGAAGTCCCGTTTTTCTTAAATTCTTTTTCCTAGGAATTAAATTTATTGAACCTACATTCCCATATTTCTGGCTTCAGCTTGACTTAGATTTTCTTCTGGTCCTACTATTTTTATAGTGTTGATTTCGTGTTTAGCTTTATCAAAGAATGTTTTGATGTCCTTTTCATGATAAACTTCCTGTAAAATATTTTAAATACTCAAAATTAGAGAAAGTACGACAATAAGATTAATGTATTCACATGTAGATATTTCTTCACATTCAAATTTGTAATCCCACAATTACAGATAAATGGTAGCCCTATCAAACATTCTCCCTTTAATTGTAATTTAAAAGTCACATGAAGAAGCTATGACAATTACATAGCAATAACCTTTAAAGAGAAATTTCTTTGAGTACCTATTTCTAGGCAAGTCTTGGAATTAATGTTTAAGTCCTGCTATAAAATATATTTAAATTTTTATAGGAAAAAAGGAAGAAGAAATGACTTACTGCCTAAGAATCTTAGATTTGAGCTATCAAATATACAGGAAAAAATGATGATTAACTCAACAGACATTAATATAAATTACAAATTAAAAATGATTTTACAAAAGACAACATTATTCTTAAAAAGTCAAAAAATGGTGACATAAAATTGTACTTTAACAAACAGAGAAAGTTTAACACAATGTTATTATTAGAAAAACATGAAAAGAAAATTATCAGCATTGGAGCCTATGAAATAGATGTGATTCTGCAGTGCTAAAATTCAGATATTATTTTCCTTCCTGATAAAAGCATTTTAGTGCTTTTTAGGATAAATCTAAGTATTTCTGGAAAATTAATACTTTCACATCTTGTTAAAATACTGTAGTTAATTTTAAATAAAATACGGAAAGATTTAAAACTCCTACACTCAAGAAGTTTAGGGTCCTATGAATATAGACAAATATAAATAAAAGACATCATATAAAAATTTAATGTTAATTAGAAAACCATCAGAATCCAATTTACTGAATAAATTTGTACTTTTGAACTTATTCTCACTAGTTTTCAACAAACTTAAAATATTCTTTTAAAATAATTAGTTAAGAGGTACATAAGAAAGAATAATGAATGACATGAAAAGTGTTAGGATGGGAGAAAAACATTATCACTATACAGTTTACAGATAATTTTACTAGATAAGGGTAAGTACAAACTGTTCAAATGGAAACGGTGAAACTAAATGGAAAAATACTGAGGAAAAAAATGCACTGACATTTAGATTATATGTGGAAGGTGTTAGGGAGGCTCTGAATATTTTGCAAGAAAGTCCAAGTATTGAAATTCTTTGAGGCAAAGAACGCATGCCATTAAATTATGAAGCAGGACAATAAAACCCTATCTGGGCACTATTTCAAATTCTGATAATATGGTTTTATCAAACATGGTAATGACATTATTTTATCAAATATGATATTACATGATATATAGATATATAAAAATACATGATATAATGGAAAGGTAAACAGAAATCAAAAGCAAAGGAATATAAGATCTCTGTTATATCTTTCCTTATCTAGGGAGAGTTGAGCCCTTTGAAAACTGCTGATGTTCAACTATTTTCTGAGCTACATATTGGTCATCACAATGGCATTACAATGATTCCTAGACCCTAACTCTACAGGAGCTCTGTTAGCCTTGTGGGAAAGGAGCTGTGCTGCCACCCCAAAGGAAAGAAGTTCAAATCCACCAGCTTCTCTAAAGAGAAAGATGGGCAGTCTCCTTCTGAGCAATTTTGTCTCTGAAAAACCCCCTGGAGGGTCAGCTACACACAACAGCTTAGCCCTTCGTCCTATAACGGCAGAATAATAATCATTCCTCCATCGAATTTTGCTTTGTGAGTTCTTTTAAAAATAAATTCAAAACAACAAGAAATGCACTTTCTTGAAGAATACCAAAACCAGTTTCCAAACGGAATATTAATTTCTCAAATACTTACTTTGTTATGAATGAAAAGTTTAAGTGCTTCCTTGGGGTACTCCAACGTCAACAACGAGTCTAGAAATCGAGCCAGGAAAGGAGTAGCTTGCTCAATAAAAACGCCTATAGTTACATTTGGATAGACCTATGTTTTAAGGGAGGAAAATGTGGAACACATCAACAGAGAAGTTTCATCTTAAAAGTCTGAATTAGTCAAGTATTAATTAGCACAGTATAAACAATAAGAATCTCAGTTTGAGGTAAGTTAAATGTGAATTGCCCTGTGGCCAAGTCTAACTCTTGACATTTTTTTAGATCTCACCCAAGTAATATTACTGAATCGTATCCTGCATTACTGACTTAGGTTTAAAGAGGATTTACACATACTCACTGTACTTTCTGAAAAATCAAAATTAATTAAGGATATTGCTTTTGCTGCTACTATTTTCTTTACAGTGGCCCTTGAAGAATCAGATTTCAAATCTCAGGGCTATTGCTAAAAGTTCTTTTCATAAGCTTAGAGATGAATTTGTAGCCCAAGGAAAGAACTAATAGAGGACCCGAGAGGCTGTATTACTTTCTTTCCTTTCTTCAATACGCCCTTTAACCCTGATGGTCTGGGTTTTTTTTCTTTATTATTACATGTAAATAAAGCTATTTTCACTGTATTTACGCATATTTTTTTAAAATCCTCTTTGACTATGTTTTACTGTGCAGCTTCTCTTTCAGGCATTGCATGACAGGTAATGCCAGACCTGTGGTAGGCAACATCTAGAAAAACAACAGAAAGCTATGTCTTGAAAAACTTACAAACAGTTGATGAAAACAGCAATGTTTGCAAACAATATAAAGGTATTATTACCAATAACCTGCAATAAGAGAGATGCATATAGAAACCATAATCAGATATCCAAGTAGCACTTGGCAAAGTTTAGTAGGTCAGCAAGCAATAAATCTTGGAGAGGATGTGGAGAGGTGGAAGCTCTCATACTCTGTTGATGGGACTGTAAAATGGCACAAACATGCTGGAAGGCAATTTGGCATTTCCTCAAAAAGTTGAGCATAGGAACTCTATAACCCAGCTATTCCACTACTAGGAACATACCCCAAGGAAATTCGAGCTGAGAAACAAATGGAGATCTGTACACCGATGTTCATAGCAGTGTTACTCACCATTGTAAGCACATGGAAACAGCCAAAATTTCCAACCACAACTGAATAAAATGAGAAACGGTGGTACAGTCACACAATGGAATACTATGCAGGACTCAGGAGAAACAATTTTGATAAATACTGCATAACTTGGGAGGAAATGGAGAGCACTACACTCAGTGAAGTAATTCAGTTTCATAAGGACAATTACTGTATAAGTCCATTACTGTAAAAATAGAAGGATAACTAGTAAAACATGTATGAGGAGCCAAGTTCAAACATACCATCTTCTCCAAAGGAGAAAGATAAGGCAGTCTGCTTTCATAAAGACTGATAACTTGAGAAACCCAATCAGTAGTTAAAAATCACTGCTCAATAACTATGACTTTTAAAACACATGATAAATTTTATTTCTATGGTGGAAGGACTTGTTTTCAAAATCATTTTAATAGGATATAAGGTAAAATATCAGGATTGATTTTTAAATGTTTTCATGATGCAACTACATTGAGAACTCGTCTGATATTCCTTCCAGATAGGAAACATTCAGTTTGTTATTTTAGAGATAAGACATAAAGCCCTTTTTTCAAATAAAATAGGGTTCTATTCAGAAGTCACTAAGGTACACAACATAAAGTCTATCCTCCACTCAGAGATAAAGATAGCAAGTAATTCAGGAGCTGACAGTGGTAAGAACAGACACCATTTAATTAAGAGTGCAAGATTATTATAAGGAAATATAGCTGCAGAAGAAAAGGAGTTACCAGAATGCTATTCCTGAGACTTTTATTTGTCCTTCTTACTTCAGGTACTCTTAACTACTTACTAAAGTTGTAGGGAATGTGGTTGTTGTTATGTGCCATCAAGTCGGCTGCGACTCGCAGTGACCCTGTGTACAACAGCTTTAAAGCCTGCCCTGTCCAGAGCCAGTCTCACTGAATCTGATACACCTACCCTCACTGCTCTAGTTATTGTATCAATCCATCCCACCTGGGTTCTTTCTCTTCTGCGGTGTCCCTCCACCCTTCTGAGCCTGATGTTCTTCTCCAAACATCGGTCCCTCTTGGCCACATGCCTAAAGTAAGTGAGTTTCAAAATCTTAATCTCCAAGGACAAATTTGGTTTCACCTTCTCCAAGGAAGACCTATTTGTTTTCTTGGCATTCCATGGTACGTTCAAGACTGGTCTCCAGTACCACAACTCAAAGGCATCAATTCTTCTTCTATCCCCCTTAGTCAAGTAATTGTGAAGACCATGGACTGGATCAGGCACACATCAGTCTCTAGACTGACATTGTTCCTTCTCAGTACTCTGAAAAGGTCCCCAACAGCAGATTTACTTAATGCAATTTTCCTTTTTATTTCCTTACTGCTGGTGCCAAAAGTGTTGATTGTGGAGTCAAGCAAACTGTAACTGTTAACAACGTCAATCTCTTTTCCATCCATCATGGTGCTGCCAATTAAGCAGTGGTGAGAATCTGGGTTTTCTTGATGTTGAGCTTCAGTTCATATTGAAGATGACAGTCCTTGACCTTTTGCAGGAAGCACTTCATGTCCTCCTCAGTTAAGGTTGTATCATCTGTATAACAAAGGTTGTTGATGAGTCTTCCTCCCATCCTAATGCTTCTGCATATAGATTGAAAAGGTATGGAGACAGGCCACATTCCTGATTTTGAACCATGAAGTGTTTCCCTGCTATGTTTTGAAGACTGCTTCCTGGTCCTAGTATCGGTTTTGCATAAGCACAGGCAAGTGTTCTGGGATTCCCATTCTCCTCAAGGTTAACCACAATTTGTGATCTACACAGTCAAATGTCTTTGCATAGTCATACTTTACAAAGTCATTCTCTGCTTTCTGTCAAGATCCATCTGACATTGGTGATAATGTCTCTAGTGCCATGGTCTCTTGTAATCCCAGCCTGCAGTTCTGGTAGTTCTCTATCAATGTATTATTCCAGTTGTTTCGGGATAATTTTCAAGAGGATTTTGCATGTGTGTGATATGAGTGATATTGTACAATAATTTGAACAGAAGAAAGAATTATTCTTATTAGTAAAATGACTTTCCAGAATCTAGAACTGTTCGTACAAAAAAAATCCTTCTAAATTACTAAAGCAAGTAGCTGGAAGAAACTTTTCAGAATCTTCTATACTGTTGCTACTGATGACAGAACAAAGATCTAAACAAATGTCTTAAAGACAAGGTAATAAACATTGCCAATTGCTTGTTCACTAGTTGTTAATTCTCTATGTAATATATATATATAAATATCCTAGTACTTATCAGGCATGTACATGACACAGAAGCAAAATCATCCCAGAACCAAATGACCTTAATTCAAATATATACTCTTAACACTATGTTCTCTATGGTAGGTTACTTAATGTTAATATAACTGGGTTTTTCTCATGCATAAGCCTGAATCAATAGTCCTATTTACAGCAAGCATTTCTGCAAAGTTTGAGTAAGCTACTATATGTAAAGTACTTAATAATGTCCTTAAACTATATAATCACATAATTATTTTTTAAAATATCATATTTGAAAATCAAGCACAGATAAAATTTAACATGCAAATGGTAAATTATTATCATGGTCCCCCTCCGCCCTGAGTGCTTTCATCACCTTATATACCAATTGCAACTAGCTGGCTGAGACTCACAGCGTATCTACACATATCAGAGTATCACAGAATTTTTAATGGCTGATTTTAAAACAACAACAACAAAAACTAACAACAGATAGCCAGGCTTTTATTCTAAGGCACCTCTGGGTGAATTTGAATCACTGTACTTTCAGCTGAGAGCAGACCACTTTAACCACTTGCATTACTCAGGAACTTCTTTGACATGTTAGCAGACTTAGATGAAGCAAACGCTGCCAATCATAACAAGCTATGAAGTATAAACACATTTTTACCTGGTTCAAATATGTGACATTGCTTTCAAATCAGCTTATAAATATACAAATTTAGAATTTTTTTGAATCATTATGTATTAAATTTATTTGTCTGGCTAATTCCAATAAAGAACACAATTCTGAAAAGCTAACTAGGTATTCAGCTGAAGTGGAAGCCTAAAGTTAGCTTTTTTAGCCATTAACTTAGCCCACTCTGGTCTCCAGTTACCTTAACTGAAGATACATGGTCTTGCAGTTTTTCAAGCTGTGGGATTAGGATAAAAGAATAAGTGCTTCCCACAACGAGTGGCAAGACTTGAGGGAAGCTAGAGAAAGACCCTGTTGAGAGTGAGACCTTGGTGGTGAGACCCCAGTGATGGCAATGGAGAGACTGTGGCATTGGTGTGGAGAAACTGTGGCAAGGTGTAGCCAAAGGTGCTCTAAGATAAAGGTCAAACTTAAAGATGTTGCTATTGTTGCCATATGCTTGAAGGAGAAGCCGACATATAACTACTCTGAGGCAAACCTTGATGGATGAACTGAACTGGGACTTGGACTAACTGAGAAAGTGTGCCTTGGAACTGCTGGACAAAAATCTGGATTTGCATTGAGCGATACTCTTTGGTTTCTGCACTCTCCTACTTCCTTCCCTAATAAACTTAATTCTCAGTACCACAGCTGTGAGTCAGTGAGTCACCAACAATTAAAAGAACCTCTTTTAGAGGCACCTTGCGGCTGGGCTACAGGCTCCTTATCTGCTTTCTGCTATGAGGTGGTGAGGGGCTATGCTATTCTCACTCCCTCTGGCCCTTTCAGAGAGATGGTCATAGCCCCATGTCTCATTTTCTTCTCTCTAGACAGCGACCCTCAAACAGTCAGTGTCCCAACCACTAAATAAAAAAAAAAATTATTATTACATTTCACACACAGCCAGTTCCACTTACATGTACTGTGGACAAGTCAATTACATCCAAATCACAAAGTTTGCAGCCACTCTCCTGTGTCCATGCGTTAGGTATATAGTTTCCAAAATAATTGAGCACAATCTAGTAAACAAAAGAAAAAGAAAGTCTCACTCCTCAATACAGTTTCATCCTGTAAATATCCAGTTTCACAACATGCTTTTTATTTTAAGTACATCCTCTTCATTCTCTTAATCACCTCAGACTGGACACTGCATAAACAAATTTCTCCAGAGATTGCAATCACAAAGCAGCAAACTTTGGTCTAGAAATATCTCAAAATATCCCAGAAATTATAAATGTGTTTTTATTTCATTTGATTTGATAATAAATGATGTAGGAAGAGATACAATTAAGGAAGTACAGAAGCTTATATTGGCGTAGTCTGTAGGACTCTGCATATTGTACTGTTAATTGAAAAACCACACTTCTCTTGTGGCTGGAATGCACAAGCACCTCTTCAGGAAAAAGACGATCAGTCTCTTCTCATGTAACTTATAACCTCCCAAAACCTACTGGAGGGTCAGCTATGAGTCAATTCTGACTCAATGACAATGGAGTTTTACTTTCTTGAACATTACAAATACAGATATTCTACTAAATAGACATGTTGTTGTTATTGTTGTGTACTGTAGATTCAAACCGACCTAATGTTGACAATCTAAGAGGGTTTTCAAAGGCAGTTTATTACACAGGAGGAGAGCACCCATCCTCCCATGGAGCAGCTGGTGGCCTCGAACCATGTGTCTTTGAGATTACAGTGCAGGTTTGTTTTGCCGCTAGGCCACCAGAGCTCCTGAAACACTTTGTTGTGGAAGGCTGAAGTTTATCATGGAGCTCAAACTCCATTCTAGTCCTTGGCAGAGTTCAGATATCATTTAAGTTCATTTTGACTAGCAAACCAGCTGTATGGCTTTTTAAAAAAATTGTGATTTTATTGAAGGTTTATAGAAAACTTACATTCATTATGGCTTTTTTATTCTTCTCTCAGGAAGAGTGGGATTAAAAACCAAAACTGCCAAAGTCTGCATGCTGGTGGTGATGTTGTTAAGCATTGCACTGGCATGCATTTGTAGCAACCCTAAAAACAATAGACTTTGCCCAAACCTATCCGATCTTCACAATCTCAGCTATGTTTAACTCACTGTTGCAACTACTTTATCAGTCCATCTTGTTGAAGGTCTTTTTTTTCTCACTGACTTCTACCTTTTCAAGTCTGATGTCTTTCTCCAGGTACTGGGCCCCTCGTAATAACATGCCCAAAACTTGTGAGATAAGAATTCACAGCCTCACTTATAAGGAGCATTTTGACTGGACTTCTTCTCCAAGACAAATATTTGTTCGTTGGCTGTATATTCAAAATTATTAGACAAACCAATACCTGAAGCATACTCATTTTTCTTCTGTTTTCCTTATTGAATGTCTAACTTTGAAATGCAGATAAAACAACTGAAAATAATATGCCTTGGGCCAGGCTCACCCTACTCTTTAAAATGTTAAAGAGGTCTCTGGAAGTAGGTTTGCTAAATCCCTTTCATTTATTGACTGCTACTTCCATGGGTGTTATTTGTGGATTATGTATCCAAGTAAAATGAAATCCTTGACAACTTCAAGCATTTCTCTGTTTATCATGATTTTGCTTATTGGTCCTGCTATTAAGATTTTAGCCTGCTGTGCTTATGTGCTATTGAGTCAGAAGGAACTCACAGCTGAACCTCCAGATTTTCTAAGACTGTAAATCACCTGAGAGGAAATTATCCAACTTTGTCCCATGAAGCAGTTGGTGGATTTGAACCACCTGCCTTTGGGCTTGCCATAAAAACAAGAACTTCTCTAGCGTTTTGTTAATGACTTACCTAGCACAGATCCCATAGTCATGCCTCATTACTTTGACCCCTACGGAGATGGGAGACTCAGAACCAATCCTGTAAACATTTTTTTTATATTTATAATTGTGTTAAATATCCTAGTCCTGGCTTTGGTTGTTCTTTTGGGTTGGTTTTGTTTTTTCTTTGTTTCGGGTTTGTTTGTTTGTTTGTACTTCTGTAGTTGTCCCTATAACAGTACCTGCTATCAATCAGAACCCAGCATTTTAAGGAAGGATAGCTCTGGTGTGGTGAAATTTATAGGGAGTTTCACTGTTAACACAAAGGCTGTGCCTCACTGGACGTTTGAATCCATCAAAGGTTCCCCTTGAGAAATATGGGCAATCTCCTCCTAAGGGATTTACAGCTGCCAGAACTCCAGGGGAGGATCAGCTCTGACTCAATAGGAATGAGTAGAGAATATTTAAATCTGAAATCTCTTTTTCCCCTAGAAAAAATGTCCAACAATGATACAGTTTTAAGTGAGCTAATGAGATATATGAGAAAAAAGCAATATGTGTGACAATAGTAACATAAATACTAACTTAGGAACAAGATATTTTCAAAATTCCAGAGGAGGCACCTACAGTGAATTGGGTAGTGGAAATATGACTTCTTGCCAAGGTGTCCTCACGTAAATGAAATAGCTGACTTCATCACTAAAACACTCATGCTCATTACCATCAAGCTGGAAGCAACTCATAGTTGACCACTAGTGGCTTTTCAGAGGTTATAAATGATACAGGAGATTGCTCATCTTTCCTCATGAGCCACTCATGAATGCAAACCACCAGAAGTGATAATCCTTCTGTTAGCAACACTTCCTGTGGACCACGCCACATGAGTTCTCTCTTTACCACTAAAAAACACGGAAATCTTTCCAGGAAATACTTCAGTCCAGGTTTCTGGGCAATGACTTATGGGTATAGACCTTGGGAAAAGATAGCTTGCTGTTTAAAATATATTTAGAATTATTTCCTAATCACTCTCATCCACGATACCTTCCATCAACAATAAGATAAAGGATGTGAGGGATATTAGTCACTAGGGATGGTTCCTCACCCCCATTCCTAGCGGACATCAGAGAAACTCCTTTTTGACTCATCTCCTCCCTCTGGGGTGAGATCCTGGCATTTATTTTCCCTCTATAGTTTATGTCCTTGTGTGTGGTGAGGTGAGAGTTGAAGGTTTGTGGAAGGGATGAGAGAAAGAGAACGAGAAAACAGCGGATGGCAGTATGAGCTCCTAAACAGACCTGGCATACCCATACACTTCAAATGCTTTTCCAAAAACTCACATTTCATGAAATAAGGTCCAGGACTTAAGAACAATAAATGACATAGTTGAGCCTCTACATCTTGTGGTTCCTAACCTTTATACTAACAGACAAAAGTGCTAGTCTATAGGCCTTTTATTTTAAGAACTACCTTCCCTCTATTAACTTGATTTGTGCCACTGTTAGAACCTCTACTTGGCATATTATTGCTTTTAATTTTTGACTCATATACTTTTAACTTGTTAAATTTGTGTCTTCTAGGCTGTAACAGTTCCATGATACATCTTCAAGGATATGAACATGTACGGCTAAGCACAATTGGTAACAGTGCATCTAAATTCCAAAATCAATCTCCACAATAGTCTACGTGTTTCCTATTGCCAAAGGGGCCCTTTAGAGTAGTGAGAGAAGATCTTCACCCTGAAACCTACAGCATCCCTTTTCAGCAGGAAGTAGCTAAGAGAATACACTTTTTCTTATGAATCAGTGTGCAGTCTCTCTCAGGGAGGAGTGATAGGGAATGGCAAAGGACACACTGACAAAGGAGATTAATTAGAACTGGCTTTGACAAGCACTGTGGCAATGGGACAATTAAAACAGACTTTCTAGGGGGGAAAAAAAAGAGGAACGAACTAGGGGAGAGCGTAGAGAAAATAATACCAACAATGAATGAATGGAAACCCAAAATCTCTGTAAATGTTCATTAAAATTAATAAAATTTAACAGAAAAAAAAGATTACTTATCCTTTCTGCAGCAATTTTAATACGTAGTATGAGTGTTTGTGGTTCTTTTGTTTTTCAAATTTGATTGTGTTATCCATTCTTTTCATACTGTAATTACCTTGCTTTAAGCCAAGGATATAGTAGAAAACTAGCGCTGTCCTTGATTTCATGTTACGGTTAGAGGGAAGCTTTTGAATGCTTATACAATCATTAATTTTTTATTAAAGAGAAATGAACTCAAAGAAAAAAATGTCTATGCATTTACTCTGGTGATCAAAAATGTAGAGCACATACACTGAAATTTTCTAGCTTCCTCAGGCCCAGAAAGAGATCTTGGTATGTAGATCAGATGAGGTAATTAGTTCAGTATCATTTTAGCAGATTCCACCCAAATATTTGGGACTATGTCCAGAAATGTCTAGTAGATTGAGAAACTCTCAACCAAATACTGTTGAAACCTGTATGTTCTTATTAAAATGAAAAGACAGTAGTGTTGTAGATACTGTGCATATGGTTAAATTTAATTTGCACATCACACTCAAATACATTCACATTTCTTCTGTTCTGCAAGAAGTTAAAATTAAATTCAAAGCAGAAAATACAAAATCAAGGCATTTCTTCAGGGTACTTTGCAAAACTACATGGCTAGCCACTATTAAAAGAGTCAACGTCATCATTTTATAGCATGCTTCTATAATAAACACAGAAATAAAGATTGCTACTGTTTGTCAAAGATTATAACTAAAAGCAATGGCTTAATTACTCCTATCCTACAAAATGCCATTTTAAAAGGAAGAAAATAAAGATAGTTATTATATAAAGAAAGCAGATCCTCTAGCACTATATGAAAGGATAAAAAAACATGGTAGCATAAAATATGTTGTTCTGTTATATGTTAACTTTTATTTAAAATAACCTGTAGGGTTGTTTTTTTAGAAGAAAAAAAACCACCCAAATTATTTATGGCTCCAATCATAAAAAATTTCCAGCTATATATAATGACTTGGCACTTTTACCATCTCATAAAATCTCATACAAATTAAATATTTATCTCCTGAATTATTGATCAGTAGACAAAAACGGCAAATAACAAAATGATCAATATTTTTTCAAAGTCTAAAATGTATAAAAGACATTTTAGAATTAAGAATGAAAACTACTGTAACTTTTAACATTTTGGGGTTTTATTTTTTTTAAAACATTTTGCTTTTTATATCATT